GTCATGTTAAAAAGCAGGTCACAAAAACAAAAGTTCAGTCAATATCGTACTCAATTCTTTAGTTTCCCAAGCAATTGAAAGAAGATATGACTGTCAATGAACATCCAACCCGAAAAGACCGATGTAGGATTATTCTTTATAACAAGGTTATCTCATCAAAGGCACTATATATGGATCAACTCAGTACTTTTGTACCAAAAAAGAGGGGAAAACCCATACTTTTTATATGCAAGTAAAAGCACTAGATGTTACCTCCAATGTTAATAGCGACATTGCCAGCAGTTTCCCAGAGATCAGGAGCATCATCACCACCTGAAATTGCACGGAACAGCCTGGGTACAGTAAAGAACGTTGAGATTCCTGCAGCTGCCGAGAAAGCCACATAAAAGAATCTCCTAATTCCACGGAATGGTGCTTGGACTTCACTAATGAGTTTGAGATCTCTCCTAAAACTGTAGCCTATATCTTCCCCACCTAGTCTAGCCTGTACAAATAATAAATAATTGTTAAGAAGGATGTCCAAGGATGGAAGAAATCATGGCAAGTTTTCAACAGTAATTAACAGCTATTCATGTGATTCCATCACTTTCATACTCCAACCGGTTGAAAGAACCAGAGGATGAGATGCACTCTAAAGTCTTTACAGTACAAAATAACTGTCAAAGCATCCATAGTATCCAAATGAAGTAAAACAATGTAAAAGTGAACAGTTTGAACTATGAGTTTAGTAACAAACCTCTTCCTGCAATTCCTTAAATTCAGGCAAAGCTCTAAAAGAGGCCAAGTCAGGATCATTCAAAATTGTGCCAAATTTGAGGTTATATTCTCTCAAGGCAGTACGTAGACAATCAGCAGCTTTCCTTCCTTCCCCTCTTCCTCAAAATGGGAACAAAAAACAATATCCATCAGCCTAGCCAAGAATTAGTTCGGGCTAAATTCTGGATTAGTTTCAGATAGAAAAATATAAACTTCAGGCATTTTCGATAGAGAAATCTGATCAGGTTTGATGCCTGATAATCAGTACAGTTATGGCGTTTGTGATTGGATAAAGGCCTTTCCTGAATACAAATGATAAGATACAGAGGAAAGCCAATGAAAAAGCTGTGAAATTCTTACTTATAGGCGTGACAGCAGGCTTTATTATACAGCGCAGCTTGGGCTTCAATTGGGTTGGGATCTAAACTGAGTGCTGTTTCAAACTGAACTAAAGCATCTTTAACCTGAAAAGTGCAGGATCGTGGCCATGATATCAATCAAACACTTTCATACACCAAAAGGACAGTTTCTTTCCAGCAACAATAAATTTCTAAACGTATAAAACTAAAGAACCAACTGCAAAGATACGATATTTCTGCTTGATAGCCTTAAAGAAGAACAATTTTAGCTCATAAATTATGGGAAAACAAAAAGGAATCACCAAAATTCAGCATACCCGTCTCACGAAAACGTAAACTTAGCTCAGTTAAATTGAAAATTGTAACGGCTCGTAGGGAAAAGGAGAATATATACCCGTCCTTTGGAGAAGAGCTGGAGACCCAAATTGACACAAGACTCGGCGGTCTCTGTATTGGCATCAGTGGACTGAGAAGTAGAAGAAGAAGAGCAGGAAATGAGAGAGATACCGGCCAAGTTCTTATGGATTTGCAAATGAGTAAGGGTGGTTGTTCTGCCGGGAAGCCACGGCCTTGTTCTTGTTATTGGGTTCGAGAAGGAGAGCCATTGCTGGTGCAGAGCCAGAGCAGCCACAGCCATTGAGGGAGTTTTACCAACTCGCACTGTCAACCGTTAACAGTCTATCAAGATAGCGAAGAAAATCCAGTGTCATCTCTGCATCAACAGAACAAGATCCTAGCCGTCCGTGCATGGGAATGCATTTTTCCTGTCCCTTTTAAAATTATTGTCATATTAATATATTTGTTTTTTTAATGGTAAAAAAATTGGTTCTTTTGAAATTCACCTGAAAACACATCAAAGGTATATTATGAACCAGAGTTGGCCAGACAAAGTCCCTCTAATTCTAAAAGGTAACTCTACCCTGGTTTCAATCTGCCCGCCCCATCCAATTAACAGAAGTGATGAGCAACAGTTATAAAATGACTGGACACAAAACAAAAGGAATGGATTCCATTGACACCAAAAGCTAGTCTAGCCCAAATAAGCTAAAGTTGATAGTTGAAACCCTAGAAAAATAATAATGCGTTATGCGTTATGCGTTATGCATGTGTAATTTTATACCACAAAAACCCTTTTCTCTGATAGAGAGCAACCTACCACCTACTATCCAATGAACCGTGAGGCTCTGCTTGGCTAAGCAACATCCTATTTGAAGCAATACACCATATGAGTATATAATTTATATGCTTGTGCAAAAACAGTAAATTCCAGTACTCGATGTCTCCGCGCCGCGTCCGCACTTCCAATTCCAAAAGCAAAAAAAGCATCATAAACAAACATGTTGATGTTTGCTAATTTGTTTACGTCTTTTCTTTTCAGCATCAATTATGGTGCTTCTGCTTGGAGAATAATGCTCATCCACAAAACCCTATGAAATCAAATGAAATAGCTTCTGTTTTGATTATTTCGTTCGGGTGAGTGCAGGAGGGGGATAGCGGTAGGCTTTCATCAGAAAGTGGATGGATCGATGCCTTGGTGGAGGAGGAGTATTTAGAACCTGCAGATGGTACCATGCATATGTACCAGCATAAGATTATATACCAACTGCCAACGGAACATTTCTGTTGTCTTTTTGAATTGTAGTTAATGATTTAATTAGAGTTTTAGACCCCATGTTACCTCAATCTTATCAGATAGACATTGAGAATGATTCTCGTGTCAAAAAAGTTATTTGAGTTAATTTTTGTAGAACCCGGATCCTCTGTTTGGATTTCCTCTGCTAGGATTGCCGGATATCATATATGTTGTCATTAATATATATATATATACTCAAGAAATAGTCACATGCATGCTGTTGATCTGATCTGATCTGATCTGTTTAGGCCTTAGGCTGGCTGACGAAATAGTTACCTGATCAGTGATCACACAAAGATACTGCCATTCTGAGCATGATTGTATTCAAGAAATAAGGATATCCAAACTGGATATGGTGGATAACCATGAAAGAAGGCACCCCAAGATCACATATATGGGATCATGGGGCTCATAATTTTATTATTTATTTATTTATTTATTTATTGTATGGTTAGTGAGTGAGTGCTGAACATCATAGAGAGAATACTTCCAAAGCAAAGCAGATATTGGAGATGGAGGAGGGCACCATAAATTGTGAGTGGAAGCTAGGCACGCCCCCACCATAATTTTAGCAGCACAAGCTGACCTTGGAAAATCAAGCTCAGTATAGTTTACTTTCTTCTACGCCATCAACAACTTGCCTGGTTTAGAAAAAGATTTCAATCTCACTACTACTACCACCATGTCTACATACAACTGTCATGCAGAGGAAGAAATATCAATTAAACGTATGGGACTTTTCGTACATTTGTTTCTTAATTAAAGATGCTGACGATGACACCAGTTAATTGGTCTCCCATTTTGGATGAGGATGTTTTTTTCTCTCTTTCTGCAGGGCAGTCGGCAGCCCTCTTGAGCATCTTGATCAACTCATTGAATGGCTGAGATTGTTCCTTGTTTTCGTTCGTCACTATAGAAAAAGCCTATCTATCGATAGATCAAATCCCAACATGTAAAGAGAAGCAGCAATTTCTTGTAATCGAATTCAATGTCCTAAATATGGTAGTTAGGAATAACTTTAGGGTTAATGGAGGTCGTGTGACGCTTGAATGACCTGACCTTTTGATGCCTTCACTGCAAGTGCAACTTGCCTTTTTGGTTGGTTTTAAGTGCTAATTTTTCTGGTGCAGGTACAGCTTGTTAACCACTGAGTACATATTGCTATAGAGACTTAATGCAGAAGCAGAGGAACAGAGGGGGCTTTCTTTCTTTCTTCTTCTTTTTTTAATTTGTGTTTTACACGTCACATTCTGTTCTGAGAGATAGAAGGGAACAGATACTACTAGAAAGAAAGC